GACATCGTACCCAAATCTGGCCTTGCTATTTTGGCACCTGAGGCAGAAAAACCTACAAACCTCACTGTCCCTCTGAGTAAAAATGTACATTAAAATTAATAATTTATGTCTTCTCATGATACCCCAAATTAACTGGCTGAGGTGGCCACCTCACCCTAAGGATAGGGCTAGCGCTACAGACATAATTACGTTTCTGCAAATTAAACCGGCAGTGCAGCATTTCAGCACAGTGACACACTTTACAGGAATAATTCCAAGAAAATAACAAGACAAGGCACAGAAGCTTAGCTAAGAACTAAGGATAGTGAACAGCACTACCAAGCTTTTGGAGATATATAATACAATGAAAAGCAATGTAAGCAGTATTCTATTTAAAATATTTATATACCAGCCTTCCTTATAAAAACACAGGATAGTGACAAAATTCATAGAACAATAATGAAAATGAAATGCAAAGATAAGATCAAAGAAATTTGTGGCACTGTGCTTGTATTTCATGATTTTGTCACCATCAGCTCCTGAACATAATGCAATGTAGCAATGCTACTACTGCTACTAATAATGCATTGTTATTCTCAGATGTTAGGTTAATTCAGGGGCATGAGAAGGATCACATATATTAGGGGATATGAAAAGCAATCATCCATTTCTGAAAAATCAATTTGTGTAGGTAAAAAAGGATTTTAAACAAAAAATGGTTAGATTTCTTAGTGCTTTGTTGGATATTACTGCTTAAAGCAAAATAATTAGTGGTATTTAGAAAAAAATAGTTTCAACTCAGACAAGACAGCTTCTGACATTATCAGATAGAGTTGTATTTGTTTTTTGTGTGTTTGTGCCTGTACATAAAAGGAACAATAAGAATATGCAAATAATTCCACACAACTCACAAAATAACCTATTAAGAATATCACCAGGTTGTCAGATGGAATGCCTACGAGCTAAATCAGACCCTGTCTTTGGCAACTCTAGCAGGTTACGTTCTTCCACGAACATGGAACATTAGCAACAGCTGTGACTCTTTCATTCATAACATTTTGGAAATGGATTTATTCAACAAGGGAACATTACATTTTGCTGCAGTGCACTCTAATAAGATAAGGTATCAGTTAATATGGGAACAGCGTGAAATCAGATTAGGTGATCTCGAGGGCCTGCCCGCTAAAATGAGACTGGTCATAAAGTTACATTGCACGTATCACCTGAAAAAGTTATCTGCATTGAGTTTGCACATTAAAAACAGGATTCCCACTCCTTTGCTAGAATTTACTTTTTTCATTATTCTGGAGAGAATGAAAATGGCTTTGTGATTCATCCCACAAACGGAAAATCGCAATAGTTTTTAAACAAAAGGAATAGCTCATTTAACTTACTGAAAGATTCACTGCAGAGAAGTATCAGTAAATCCATTTAGCTAAAGCTAGTAATTGGCTTAAGGAAGCTACAGGTAAATTTGCCTAATTTACTGTTCCCAGTGAAAGCCTTCATGTTCTAGCCCCATGGCTGTGATTTCAAAAGCAAAAGCATCACAATATTTCCTTTCAATCATCAGGTTATTGTCCTATAACTGAACCAGGAATTCATTTCACAATTTTTCAAAAGCAATTCAAACATGTGGCAATTTGCATGTGTCCTAACCATAGCCGTCTCGTCTAGCTACAGCACCCAACTTCAGATTCCAGGTTCCTTAGGAAGAAACAAAACCTCCTGTGTAAAAGATGATACTCAGTTTATTGAACCAAATTATTAAATATGGATACAGGTTATGAATAAATGAACAAAATAGTTTACTCCCTTTGTTGCCATCATGTGAACTGATCCAGTATGCTTTTTTGTGTTCTTACAGAAGTGGAAACTCCAGTTCCTGCCTATCATTACTATACTGAGAAAGAGATAGGTGTACCAGTAAAGAACTTCATTGCAGCTCTTAAAAGAACAAGAGCTGTTTGATTATCTAAGTTTGAAAAGCTAATGCTTGTTGTCAAGATCATAATACATAGTGCATGCTATTTCTATCTCCAAACTTCATGCAGTAAGGGGCAAGAATGGGCACTGTATGCACAGGTCTGTAGGCTATGTGTATGTGGTTAAGAATCCTGCTTCTGCCTATTGATTCACACACAGGTTATACATGCAAACAGACTATTTTTATCTTTAACGGAACATGCTGAGATACATGCAGGACAGGACTAGAGGATGCAGTCCTGCTCTGCCCCCAACATTTTCATTTGTGTATGCATGGAAGTGTCAACAAGTGTTTTTCATGAGGTGCATTTGCAAATAGTTAGATGAATTACTCTGGGCTCTCTTCACAAGCTTAGAGACAAAGGCTAAGCCCAAATGGAGAAGCACTTGCAAAAATCCCAAATCATACATTTTTCACAAAAGTTTGCAAGTGTCCCCAATCTGAAAAGCCTCTGCTATTTTAGAACATCATAGTGCTAGCAAAATAGAATGGACCTCCTGCATTCCAGAATGCTAAACCACCATTGAACAAACACTGCCACTGTTTCAGCCTGTTGCTGCTTCTTTTTTTTAGCATTTTCATCTGGTAACCATACCCCAAGAAATCTGTTATCCTCTTTTGTTCACTTCAAAACATGTTATTTCCGGCAATGCAGACAACACGGATTTTTACATTTAGGTACCACAAAAACATCTGTCAGCTTAAGAGTTCAAACAGAGGACTCCTCAGGAATGGCAGAGGGGAAGCATCTTGTAAACCTTTCATGAAGGATCAATCCCCCAGAGCCTGTAGTGCAAGTTCAGTGGGGAAGGTTTCAGTGAAGTGCTAGATAAACATGGCAACTGGCATAAGGGCATGAGAATGATTATACAGATCGCTTTCATGCATATATTTTACTATTTCATACTCACTTCATTTCCCAAGCTTTCAAAGAAGACAGATAGAGAAGACAGCTTTTAAACTTCGGGGTTTCTGTTATATAATATGCAGTCCAGTTAACCTAGTGGTGTAGTGATAAACTGGAAGAAAAGGTGTTCATCATGACACTCCCAAAATCTTGCCTTCAAGAGACATCCAGAATTCAGGCAGCTGGGTTGATCCATACCTACAAGCCAGTTCTAGCTGTCTTCATCTTCACCAGGAGCAGATCTTTTGTAAAGACCAAGCCATCCCAAAATACTTTTACTTTACAAGGGGAGGAACAATATATAATATTAATATTAATATATAATCATGCAATTTTCCCAGCTGCTGTGATGATTGCAAGCAACTGGAGGTTGCTGTAGAAACCCCCAGATTTCCTTGGCCATCCAGAAGCAATAACCGGTTGTAGATAGTACTGGGTAAATGGAAGGAAAGGGATTGGGAGAAGAGGATTTTAAATGGCTCAGGAACTTTAAGGGAGGAGGAAGAGGTGGGACAGAAGCACAGGAGAAAAGCCTGAACAATGAAAGCACAGTGGGAGATGAGAAATAATGCAGCAGAAAGAGGGTTGGTGGCAAAGTGGAACAAAGAGAATGAACAAAGACCAGAAGGTATAAAAAGGGCTAGCAGGAACAGAAAGGGACCAATGAGCTTATTACTGAATCATAAGAATAACTGCTAGGATCAGTTAAAAAAAGTTCTTCTAGTACAGGCAGAAAACAAGAAAAAGAGAAGGAAAGAATTTCATGCTTCTGTTGCAAAGTTATTATGAGATCTTCTTGGCCACACAACTACCTATTACAGCTTTCACTATAAGATAGGCATTCTTTCTGATCTTGCACATACTTCTCTGTGTTTCTGCACTGACATTGACCACCGTCCAGCAGCTACTTATCATGCTCCCTAGGTACTTTTCTTGAACCTGCAGCAGCTACTGAGATCTGTGAGCATCCACCTGGCTCCTACAGCAGTATCAGCCTTATCAGCCACCTGCGGACACACCGTGGACAACTCACAACCCGTTAGATGTCAAGGTCCTCTTCGAAAATGATGGACAAACATCACCTGGACTGAAGTTTAGCCCTTCCTTCTGTTTCTACAGAAGCATCCAGTGCCAATGTTGTGTCCCTGTTACTCTGGCTCAACAACAAATCAAGTCTATCTGGCGGTGCATGGCCATCACCCCATTGCTAGTTCCATGGAAACCTTGGAGGGTTCAGCTGCAGGGCTCCTACAAGTAATGTCTTTCATTGTGTTTTTCTGAAATAACCACCCACACTATAGGATGGAGTGCTGTTCTCTGCTGTGTTTCCCCATAAACTTTTGTGATCAGAGCTTTCTGTTGCTTGTTTGCACTGCTCCAACTGTCCTGTAGGAAGACAATCAGAAAGAGAAGGGGCGGAGAGGGGAAACATGTTCAATTGAACTGATTCATGTCTTTTGAAGAGGAATAAACAATTGTTGGTCCAAGGGCTGTGGGAAAGCATAGGATGAGACAGCTTCTGTCCTATTACTTCTCCTGCTTTTGGACATCCAAATTACTCTCTCTGAGCTACAACTTTCAGTAAAACAAGCCATGAGGAAGAGAAGTTATCGTACTTAGTACTGTTGCAGTCCGAAGCTCAAACCAATCTGTTTTATTTTTTTAAGTCAAATTTGTAATTAATCACTTTGAATACATCCCGTAGTTAAGGAAAAGAATCGGCTAATTTGCTTGTTTCCTTCATCTCCAGCTTTATAACATGTGGGGGAACAAAACATTCTGTCGGCTTCAAAGGACTTTTGCCGATTATTGCCAGACCTCCTATTAGACTCCAAGCTTCACTCACGATAAGCACTTGAACAAGCCCAGCTTTTAAACTGGACACAAAGAGGCAACGCGCGTGCTCACACTTCCTCCTCCCCACAACACCAAAGGAAATTTCTTCCATTTTCAAAAAGCCATGTTAATGAATCCCATATGAGGAAATCCCTCTTCAACCCGCCACGGTGTAGCAGCTGCGTCGACCCGCTCCGTTACAGACGCTGAAGGAGGAGCGGGGCGGGGACGGAAGAGGAAAACGGTGTTGCCACTTTAAATGACTCAGGAAGTAAAAGGCACGGGGGAGAAAACACAAACCAAGTCCAAGGGCTCGGCCTGCCTTTTGATTTAGAAGTGAAAGTGCAGCTTAATCTGAGAAAGGAACGCAGTGGCGGTGGCGGGGTGCTTCTAAAGGAAGAATACATTAATTCGCGTGCTGGAGGTCAGCCCAGCTGTTTGCTTGCTAAGGTAGAAAGGGCAAGAGAGAGCAGTGTATGAGAGCAAAGCAGAGCGAAAGTAGTTCAGGGCGGAGGAGCGAGCTCCAAGTGCGACCCACTTCCCAGCCAAGGGTGCAAAGGAGGCCGAGGGCAGAATCGGACCCAGTAGCACGTGGCGCGGGGCCGGTATCCAGGCCTCACCTGGGTTAGGCTAGAAATGGCTTCTGCGGAGGAGTCCGGGGCAGAGGTCCTCCAAGATGGCACCTGCGATGCTTGCGAGCCCGACGAAGCCCAGACCGCCGCGCAGGTCTGCGAGGACTGCGACTTCTCCTTTTGCCAACTGCACTCCGAGGAGCACAGGAGAAAGTACAGAGCTCACCGGATGAGGGACTTCGGTGCTCTGGAGGGGCAGGGGCAGGCAGGGAGCCAGAAGGACTTGAGAGCAGACCCCAAGGAAGAGGAGGAGGAAGAAGAAGAGGGCTCTCGTAAGCTGGAGAGAAAGAAGTGCGAGGAGCACGGAGAAGATCTTAGCTTGTACTGCAAAGAGCACGAGAAGATCATCTGTGTATTGTGTGCGGTGTCGGGCCCTCACCAACAGCATGAGCTGATTACGCTGAATGATGCCTACGAAGCCTGCAGGGTAAGTATCCTGAACATGCGTGTCCTTGGCATATTTTTGACAACTTGGCCCACTGGGTAACATGTCAGCCATGAAGTTTCCTTTCAGCCCTGCCTTCATGGTGACAAGAAGTGGTTGCTTCTTGATTGAATGCATAGCTAGGCCAGGTAAGGCTCACAACTGAAACAGACATTATTTTACTTTAAACCTCTATCAGGTACCTTTTTTTCTGCTCTTCATTTTTCCAGGCCTCTCCTGAACAACATGGTCCTGTCAAAACGGGTGGACATAGGTCACTATCCAACTGTGTCATTCTGCTACATTAGTGGAAGCAAGAGAATTCAGCAGAATGTACATTTGTGGCATCAGTTGTGCAACAGGTGAAATAGGCAGAACTTTGCTAGAGCTGTTTGAGTTTTCAGAATGATGCTGTTGGATATTGCCCATAGCTGGTAGATGCCAGTTTAAAGTAACATTGCTTTGGCTTACTGTGACTGCATTTCATGTAAAAGCCAGTTTAAGCATCCAGAAAGTACACCTCTTAGGACACAAGCTTGTGCATGTATGGACTGAAAAATGTTCTACAACTTCCAGCATTCCTCATTTTAGGATGCATGTGTCACTTTGCTTATCTGAATATATTCCATGGCAGTAAGATGTCTGGAACATTTATCAGGTGTTCTCTTGATAGCAGAATAATCAGTCCTACCCTGTGACCTTTCCCTTGCATCCCCCTTTGTTAGCCAAGGGAGACTATTCCCAGCAATGGGACAAAGGAGCATGGATGGAAGAAGCAGCAAAAGTGGAAGTGATAGGGAAGATAGCTCATGCTCCCTTCCCAGAAATAGGCCTTCATATTTTCTGCAGCAACAGCCTATGTCTGACCAAGTAGCCAGTACTTTCTGAATGGCATTTTTACTTTTTCCAGAAGGCCAGCTTTAAATGCTTGAATGCAACGTTTCTGTATTTATTTATTTATTAAAACATTTTTATGCCGCCCCATTCGCCGAAGCCTCGGGGCGGCTTACAACAATAAATTAGAACCACATAAATAAAAATTAAAATATATACATTAGAATAATAATAATTTCATACACACACACACACACACACACACACAATATAAAATAGCCTCCCTGGCCAGATAAAATTCAATAGTTTTAACATTTAAAATGGTGCTTAAATAAAAAGGTCTTCGCCTGGCACCGAAAAACAAATAACGACGGCGCCAGGCGGACCTCTCTGGGGAGCGCATTCCATAACTTAGGTGCCACCACTGAGAAAGCCCTCCTCCGAGTAACCACCCTCCTAATTTCTTTCACGGAGGGCTCCCGGAGAAGGGCCTCTCCCGCTGATCTCAAGGGGCGGCTGGGCATATATATGGATGTAAGCGCTCCTTCAGGTAACCAGGACCCAAGCCGTTTAGGGCTTTATAGGTCATCACCAACACCTTGAATTGGGCCCGGACTTCAATGGGGAGCCAGTGAAGCTGACGGAGAACTGGCGTCATGTGAACATAACATCCAGTTCCCGTCAGCAGTCTGGCAGCTCTATTTTGAACCAATTGAAGTATCCAGACTGTCTTCAAGGGTAGCCCCACATAGAGTGCGTTACAGAAGTCAAGATGGGAAGTCACCAGCGCATGAGTCTGATGATAGTAACATGATAGTCTGATAGAAATACTTTCATTGAGATATTAAGACTGCAAATTGCCTTGCTCTTCTCTCAACATGGGACAACAGGAAGAGTTGTGAGGATCACACACTTCATGGATATAGTTCTTAATTACTGGGAAGTGATTTGTAGACTTATTGTTACTCAATAAATAAAACTTCATCAGAACTATGTAGTACAAGAATTTAGAAAACTACCGTGTGTGTCAGTAATGGCCTATAATGTCGAAGTTGGGTCAACTTTATCCTAGTCTTATGCTCTAGCATGTCTAAGAATGAATGTGTAATAAGCTTATCTCTTAATGGTGCAACCGATCTTCATGAAAGAGGTTATCTGCATTTCGCTACACGCTGCCGGCTGTCGGGACCAGGAGTTCTAACAGGAGATGCTCCATGTGTGGAATTTCTGACTGTCAGACAGCTGAGAGAGGCATAGTGCAAAATGGGGTGGGTGGGAGAAACTCTTAGACTGGACTGTTTCTTTATTTTATGTAATTACTACATTTATAACCTGCATATGCTTCAAGGACTCAAGATGACATACATGGGACACTGCGTCCATTATATTTGCACAGCTGAGTGATGGTGGATGGTCCAAATCACTCAGTGAATTTTTGGCTGAGTGGGCATTTGAACCTGGTTTTCCCCAGACCTAGTCCTATACATTCACCATTGCATCACACTCTTGTGCACCACAGTCAAAATGGTTAAAATGTCTGCTTTGTTATTGTGTTTCCTGCCCTTGAAATTTACTTTGACTGATAATTGTATATTGTTGAGCCACTCGGTATTTCTTCCTGCCATATGTGATGACCTTAAGACCATGAGAACCCTACTGGAACAGACCAAACATGCATTAATCCAGCATCCTGTTTCTTAGGAGTCGCCAGCCAGTTGACCTAGGGTAGCCCGTGAGCAAGGTGTGAAGGCACTGGTTCTTGCCACCCCTGTTACTAGTAAATGTATAATACTTTGACAGTAAGTCAAAGCAATGTGCCTTTTGCTGAAGGGCAGCTTTCATATTCAGGTACATACAATTCATGGCTAAGCCGCTGATAGGATTGTGCTCTAAGTATTTGTCTAATTCCCTTCTGAATTCATCTGAGGCAGGCATGGGGAGAAGATGGAACTGAATCTACTGGTAGATCTATGATTTTATTTATAATACTAATATACTGTTTAATATGGTAAAATCTCTAAGTAGTCAAGTATCTGTAAGTATATAATAGTGAAATCACAACTTAAAGTATATAATTAAAGCAATTACAAAAAGAGTATCAACTTAAGCAATAAAATGGGAAAGCATTGGAGTGGATCATTAATTACAAGCAAAAGAAAGCCTTCTTAAACAAGTGTATTTTCAGGAGACATTTAACACATGTCACATTTTTTGCTGCCAAAACTACACTATGGAGAGTGTTCCAGATGATGGATGCTGCCACTGAAAAGGCCTGTTTTTGAGATGTTTCTTGGTTATATGCTGTAGGTCATGGAATGCCTTACAAGGCTTTTTGTGAAGATAGTCAGTTGACTGTCTAATGGTCAGTTGTATATTTATTTATTTATTTTATTAAAACATTTTTATGCCGCCCCATTTGCCGAAGCCTCGGGGTGGCTTACAACAAATAAGTTAAATAACATTTTAAAATATGTACATTAAAATAAATTACAAATATACAATATAAAATAAGCCGCCCTGGCGAGAAAAATTCAATAATACTAACATTTAAAATGCTGCTTAAATAAAAAGGTCTTTGCCTGGTGCCGAAAAACAAATAACGGCGGTGCCAGGCGGACCTCTCTGGGGAGCGCATTCCATAACTTAGGCGCCACCACTGAGAAAGCCCTCCTCCAAGTAGCCACCCTCCTAATTTCTTTCACGGAGGGATCCCGGAGAAGGGCCTCTCCCGCCGATCTCAGGGGGCGACTGGGCATATATGGATGTAAGCGCTCCTTCAGGTATATGTGGCATGCATTCTTCTAGGTATCATGACCTCGAGTTGTTTAGGGCTTTGTATGATACCACAAGCTAATAGGTAGCAAGCGTAATGTGAAAATGGCAGGGTATTCTGGTAGAACATTCTGTACTAGCTGCATCTTCTGAACCAGGTACAAAAGCAGTTCCACAAAGAGCGCATTACGGTTGTCACTGAGGTTACCATGACTTACTGTGGGTAATTCATGCAGGAGAGAGGATTGTCATTGCATCTATCAAAGCTGGTAATGGGCACACTGGACCACTGGAGGTCATCTGGGCCTCCTGTGACAGAGAGGGATCCAACAGCACTCCCAGACATTCCCTGTTTCTTGAGAGGGAATGCATACCCATCCAGACCAGGTAAACAGGTGTTCTTGGTAATTCTAATTGCCAATCACAAAGCTTTGTGATTAACCCCAAAACTGGACTGATGTATGCTCGCACCTGTGTTAGCGCACTGCCTGTGATAAGCGGGCTGTCTCTTACGCTGTTATACCAGGATTAACTTTCTTAGTCCTGCAGGCCACTGTAAACTAATGGGATGCACAAGGTTGTAATACAGGTCCATAAGAGAAACTGTAGTGATATTATTTGGAAAAGCTGTATTTACATGCCGACAGTCCACTCTTAATGCAACTTGTTATTCTCTGAAATAACTTATTTATATTTGTCTGTTAATACATATCTAGGTTTCCCGAGGCTTGAAAAATGTGTATACGGTAAATCAACTTCCCAGTGCTAGAAGGGAAGGAAACACTGCTATATTTGTTATAAATAGCTTACTCAGCCCTTCCACTCTAGAAGATTTGAGGATAGAGGGGAACCATAATGACAAAATTAAAATAACAAACTAGGATAGTAGGCTTGGAAGAAGAAAGCTGATAAAGAGAGAACAGCCATGACTGCTGTTGGCATTTCAGTACATTAACTGGTTTCCCACTCTACTAGTTTATTGCAAGGTAATGTTTTGGTGCCATTCAGGGCTGGGTTTCTTGGCTATGGGTTCTCCATCTGTTGTATGTATTGTTTATTTCTCTCTACGCATGATTATTTTGTTACGTATATTTTCTAAGTATGTAAACTGCCCAGGCAGACCATTGGGCTCTAAAAGTGTAATGGTAATAATAAGTATTAAGGCATAGTATTAAGGCATAAGTATTGATAACATTCTTAAGGATATAAAGTATTATTAAGGATATTATCTGTCAAAGTCCTAAAATGGCATAGACGTCATTTTAAATGTGCCATTGTAGCTCCGTATATTAGATCATTTGTGCCATTAATTTCAATTGATCTTACAAACATGTATGTTTAAGCTGTTTGCATTTTAAATGGAGGTTTTCTCTCCAGAGCTAAGCAGCAATTGCTTC